ACATTTACAGATGATGGAAAACACTTTTATCTACAACTTTGTTACAAAATAAACTACCATATGACATCTCTAAGATGGTATAAACAACCCCTGAATCTGATTGAACTTTTCTTACGAACAAAACAGGACAGCAACTTCTAAAACACATAACCACAGTTATACTCGTCCAAAAATTATAATCTCTACCAATCTGGAAAGCATAAGAAAAACACTACAACTCTTGTTCAGATCATATCTTCAAAATCATTCAATTGGATTGTCAAAAACAGATTACGTATAAAAACTATCAGATTCTCATCACTGAAAAACAGTCATACTAGAACAACCATATCTCTCAACATACAGGGGCTATGAGTCTAATTTTGGAGTCAAAAGAAAGGTATTGGTGTCCGCTAAAACTTTGTCAACAGTGGCAAAAATTATTGAGCGACTAAGAAGCCCTAAAAATTCGATGAACACAGACCGCACCACCCGACAGATTTTCAGAACGTGGACAAGACTAATCTCGAGATTTACTTCCAATAAGCACCCTCTAGATAACCGATTTAATCCATAAAACTTTTCCAACCAAAGTGGATTAAGATTTGGCAACTTACCTAGGTCAACAACAATGAACACGGTGACAATCCCCCAGTGATTCACCTCTTTCTTCCTTCCTCTTCTCCACCTTACGGCGATTCCCGCCGCTATGACTCTCTTGCCATTCCAATCTACGCCGGTCATGGTATGGCCATCAAGGACAGCGAGGGGGAACAAGAGATTGAGACCAAAACGAAGAGATGTGAAGATCCCTAACCGGTTTAGGAAGAACGGAAACGACGATGATTGCGATGGCGACAACGATGGCAAGACCTTAGATATGATCCTCTCATCTTCTCCTCCCTTCTCTTCTCCCCTCTCTTTTTCTCCTCCTGTCTCTTCTCTCTCTTCTTCTTCTCCTGAACGTGAACAGCCAGGGATCCTAAAGGCCTTGGGAGGGAGGTACCGGCTAGGTTTTAGATGGGATCACGGTAGAGAAAAGAAAAGGAAAACGAAAAGCCCCAGATAATTAGGCTCAGCCACGGCAAGCTCTTGGACTCCTGGGCGAGTTACTATAGCACATTTTTCCCTTCTCAAATCTAGTACCAAACGTAACTTTGTGATCCAAACTCAGGATAATGCATATGCATAGACAAATAAAAATGTTTTAGCAAAGCTCTACTTGTCTACAGTCTCCAGTAGTCCACCTAAGCCGTGGATATAAAAAAATCAGTTTTTACTTACAAAAACTCCCACTCATCTATTTAACCCTTTGTGCTTTTTTCATGAAGCAAAACACATTTGCTATAAGATTAATTCTAATAAGAAACATGAAGAGTAAACTTAAAATATGAAACTAAATATTTTATATACAAATACAAAAGGCTATGTGGTCAAATTTTCAGGTTGTGAAAGGTCTGAGTGTAGTAGTGAACCCTTTACAAATCCTCCGGGAGATGGCCACGAACAATCACCAACACGTGTCAACTTCCTCAAGCTGCTGCAAGCCGTCTAGGTGGCGGCAACCACCAAAAGTAACAAGTGAAACCACAGCCAATGCAACCACAAGTGCCACTAGATGCACCAACGTGATGCAAATGCATTTGGATGCTCTCCCAACTCACTTGGATGATCAACAATCAAGAGAGAAGAGTGGGAGTGTTGTTTCTCAGCTCTAGGGGTGTACAAGAATGCAAATGGCCAAGAGAGTCACCAAGTCGGCCAAGTTCTTTAAATAGGCGACACATAAGCCACTAGCCGTTATACACACGAAGAGGTACCGGGCCCTGGTCTAGACTGCTACAGGAGGGTCCGGTCCAACTCCTTGTCCAACTAGAGCTCACCATGTCACCCTCTATTCAAATATAGTCATTGCGCGAGCTCGGTGATCAACAGTAGACGCCAGACCGGACTCTTGGAGCAGCGTCCGGACTCAGCAAGGGTGAGTCCGGAGCGCAACAGAGCGCCCAACATAGGTTGGACCGAGTCCGAACCCTGCAACCGAATGGTGAACAGTGGCGTCTAGAGCGTTTTGGCTCCTCTCTTTCTCGTGAGAATAGTTCTTCGGACTCTCCGTGAGTTTGGATCGATCGAATAGACCAGACAACGGTAGAGTCCGGTCACTTGTCGAGCACTCTCGTGCCGCCACGTGTCCTCTGTGAAACCAGTGCCCCAACTAGACGCTGCGAAGTTGGTCTGGATGCGCAGCTAAGTACGGTCCGGTCTGACTCAACCGCTGCTGCCAGATGGTGCATAGTGGTAGCAGCGCGTTCGGTCGCCCTGCACCGCCGGGGTCCGGTCCGAACACGTGAACAACCCATAGGCTAGGGTTTAGCACAAGACCCGCCACCCAGGGTCCGGTCCACCCAAACCTTTGAGTCTGGTCCATTGTTTTCAGTGTTTTTCAACTCCAGTCTCTTCACCCTTTGTGCATGTTTGCCAACTCCAAGTATATCAACACATGTGTACGTGAGTTAGCAAAAGTCTAAGGCAATTCCTAAGGGTGTGTTACCTCATTAGGTTCTAATGCACATGCAACAAGTTAGATCACCTAATGGTACTTGATAACCGTATCAACTATGATATCTCCCGTCTTCATAGTACAACTATCTATCCTAAACCCAATCACACCTTCTATGGTGTCTTAATTGGCAAAACAAAATTCTATTTATACCTTGCCATGGTCTTTATAGGATTTTTGTTTTTCTCTTTCTTATTTTCTAAATTGAAGCACTTGATCCATCTTTGTCCATCTCCATCCATGAACATCATCATCTAGCTCCACCATTTGGACTTTGGACCAACCTATCTTAATCAACCACTTAGACAAAGGATTAGTTCAATAGGTTTAATCAATTAGCTAAAATCAAACTATGACTTTAAGTGTGGAGACATTTCTCTCCATTTCCTTGTAAAGGACTATGACCTAATCTGAACCTTGAATGACATTGTCATCCTCTACCAATTTTTTATTAGCTTTCTCTACTCTCAACTTGGCTGCTCGCAATGTCATCTCTAGCCTTCAATAAACTAATCTATACCTAATAATAAAGAGATAAAATTTTCACCTCTTTTTTTTTTTATTATTTTGGTCTGACCTCCCTAACTAATTGTGCACCCTTTTATAATAGCAGAAGTGGAACAGCCATGCCAAAACAAAACAAAATATATCTGGACTAGTACTCAAACAAAGTTTGTGCCATACTTTTTTTCCTGCCTCTTTGTTTGTATTCCTTTTACAGTCCGAGTTCCATAAGTATTTTTATGTCTGCCCGCCCGTCTTCCACCCGTGTTCTAGCTTTCTAGTCCGTACGTGTTCCGTCCACGTTTCAGCACATCCGCCCCTTCAATGTCCTAGCGAGAAAAACACCCACGCTTTTGGAAAAGAAAAACGCCAAAAATACAACCCAGACCAGGACACTTGTTCGAACTCAGGTCTCAGTGAGAGAAGAGCTACCGCGCGCGCATACCACGACACATATGCTTGAATGGTATAAAAGAAAACTATTTATATTTAAGTGTGTATAGCTCACGGGACTAAACAAACAAATGTAAAAGCATTGCATTGCATATATCATGTTCGAGAAATCCGCATTGATTTGCCTTTGAGCGTACGGTACCAATGGAGCAGTATGGAAATCTTAGTTTGCACATTATTAGGTAAACAAATGTAAAAGCATTGCATTGCTTATATCATGTTCGAGAAATCCACATTGATTTGCCTTTGAGCGTACGGTACCAATGGAGCAGTACGGAAATCTTAGTTTGCACATTATTAGGTTTGACAGTTTATCTGCAGCCTTAAAAATGGTTGATACATAAATACTTTATTTTCTTTTTATTTACCTCAGTCGTGGAATAATGCCCGATGAAATGTTATAAATGATTAGATCTAAGTAATATTGCAGTGCTTGATGATCATCTAGATTCGGCACTACAATAACTAAATTGATTATAGTTCGTAAAGGATCTTGACACGAACAAACTCTTAGGGTCGGTTGGTGCCATAGTTTGCTATGTATAATCTTAGGCAAACGTAGAAATATCCTATTTGAAACCGCTTAAAAGTAGATTTTACTGTTTGTTCGGCTAATCTATAAGTCGTTTGTGCTGATTTATACGGCTAATTTGTTAGGAGAGAAAAATATTGTACCATAACTGATAAGTCGGCTTATATGAGCAGCCGAACATGGCATTAGTTGCAAAGGCGACAATGATGCAAACGCGTCATGGTTGCGGTGATTTTCTCCCCACATCGGGCCATGGACCGTGGGATTTGAATTGGATTCGTGATTTTTGGTACCGTGACTCACACCACAGATGGCATACCGCATTGCATGGTGGGCATAGACAAGCCGAACCTAACATGATCGAAGTGTGGCAAGCAAAATCAAAGCCATACTTGCTACAAAAAGTTTGACAAAAAATGAGACTACAACATGAGGGAACAATGCTAAGAAAATATGGTACACCATAGTTGTGACAGTGAACCGAACAACTACCTTAAAAACTATAAAGTGACTAACTTATAACGTGAAAAGTTGTGGTTATAAATCAAAATGACCCTAAGTCCCGCGGTCGTTCTTGGAGTCTTGAGAAAAGTGACTTTCGTTGTAACGCACGGGCACATTTGCTAATGTTAACTAAAAATACTACCTCCGTCCATAAAAAAATATAATTATATGAACAGTAGCGGTCAAACTAGTTCAAATTTTACTAAGTTTATAGTAAATAGTATTAACATTTATGTCTCTAAATAATTTATTATAAAAATACATTATGTTACTAAGCTAATAATACTTATTTTGTCTCACCGAATGTTAGTATTTTTTAATATAATTTTAGCTAAAGTTAAAAATGATTAACTTGTTGACGGAGCTTCCCCTAGTAATTCCACGAGCTTGAGCCATATATACACTTTACCAACGTTTCATCGTCATCATCATCCTAAACCTCACTCACTCGGCCACTCCTCCCCGGCAATGGAGGCCTCCGCCGCCTCCTACGCTTCCGCCCCTGCAGCGCTCCTCCCGCTGCTGGCTGCCCCGCCGCGCTTCCTCCACCTCCCTCTTCGCCGTCCCTCTGGCCGCCGCCACGGCTTCGTGATTTGGGGTGGGGGTGGCCTTTTGCTCCAGCCGCCGCTGCTGGGCCCCGGCTCCCGCGCCCGCTGTAGGACAACCTGCTGCGCGTCAAGCCCCGAGCAGGCGGAAGTGCTGCTGGGCGGGGCCTCGCTCGTTAGCTTGGCGGCGGTCGCTCTCCTCACCGCTCTGCAGCTGATATGGTTGCGGTGGCGCAGTGCGAGGCACGGGGATTTCCCGGAGGTGAACTTGTAGTAGCGATTTCGTGGATTAATGCTTTTTGCACAATTATTTAGTTAATGTTATATAGTCTGGAGGCAGAGTTGCTTGAATTGATTTTGCAACATAGTGTTTTCTGCCTTTTAAACTCTCTCCCTTTCCTTTTTTTTTTTTTAGAATTGTGCTAACGGAACACTACATCAGTTTTTGAGCATTACATTACAGAAACTATTTGCTAACTCGGATCGATCTTCTAATTTCGCAGGTTTTACATGAACATGGCAAAATTATTGTAAATAAGGCCCTTGGTCCATCAAAAGCAATGTATGACAGTAATTTGGAAGCACAGCTAACTCAGTATAGTCACTGGCTTTCAGAGCCTTGTGTTTCTGGAAGAATATCTGTTGATGAAATGCATCCCAAGGCTGGTAACTTTCCCTGTGCAAACACTGTACATAAAGAAACACAGGCTTATTCTGTAATTATTCCTTGGATATGTCCGGATATACCGTTATATATTTCTAGACCTGAAGAAGTTAGTTGCTCAACTCCAACTGCAAATAATTCCATAGAAAAGGATACAAGTCTTCCTGTGATGCCACATTCTGTATCGCAAGGGCAAGATAAATCCAAGTATTTATCTAACAGAACAGGCTGGGTAGCTGGGCTACCATATCAGTTTTTATCCCTTTCAGGACAAAAGAAAGAGGCACAAAATAGTCAAGGTCATAATGATAAGCAAATGGATACCAAGGATGCTAATTTAGTTGGATGCCCTCAGAGTGATCAAGAGGAACATCTTGATTTTACATCCCTTTCATCCTTTGAAATAGTAGAAGATCATCTTAATTTTGTTCCCCTGGCCAGCTACCGCAATTTACTTGAACCTGGGAAAGTGATTGAATTCACCAACTCTAATGCAGGGAGCTCTTATTTGCCAGCAGGTTTTACTTTTGAATTCATGTATTCTTCTTGGTACTTAGTCTGCTGAAATAATTTATTTATTTTTCATATCTCCCCTGGAATGATGTTGGCCCATTTCCTCTGAAGCATACTCTATATTCAGGACGCTTTGCTCCAGTTGCATGCTTAAGGGAAGTTCCAGTGAGTAAACAAGTGAAAGCTGTGAAGGGCCATGATGGTGGCTGGAACATTTCTAACATACTAAACAAGGAGAATCCAGATAACTTCGCTCCAGTAAAGAGAGGGGGATCGAAGGGCACAAAGGATACATTAGATTACTTGAGGATATACAATAGTTTCTTAATTGATGGAAGGTAACATATTTTATGGATAATCATTGTGACACTTCTGTGCCTGGAGCTCCAGTTAACTCTATACACAGTGTTAATTTCTGATGATGCAAATTTTCTGGTTTAAACATCTATTTGGTATTTTCAGGTTGAAGGACTGCATGGATTTGTTAGAAAGCATGGAACAAAATGGACTGCTTGATATGAAGAAGGTAAATTACCTTTTCTGATAGTTTATTTTTTATGGGCATGAGTTTTACAATTGGCCTTTTGTAACAAATAAAAGTATATACTATCCAATTCTAAGATTCTCAAATTCTTTTTTTTGAACATAAGATTCTCTAATTCTAATAATGCACTATGGAACTGTCTAATGTTCATCCTTCAACTATTGATTCTGGAACAAATAATCCCCTGAACTTAAATCATCTTGATTATGTGACATGGCAACAGGTCAGTTCCAATGGAAGAAACTCAATTAGGAACATGTTTAGAACCACATGCCAGGCTATTTTTCATCTCCTCTCTTTCTTGTCTTTTCACCTTCATCTCTTTTTCTCTGTGTGCTTGAGCTAAGTGTCGTTCATGATTGAGCCTTGTCTCAGTTCTGCCTATTTGGTTGCTGCCAGCTTGCCACTACCTACTGAGCTCAGTGGTGGCAGCTTATTAGGCTCTGGCGAGTGCTATTGTGTTTTTTTGATGGCAAACGAGTGCTATTGTGTTGCTTTCTCTTGAGCGAAGGGTTTGGCCTTGGGGATACCAGGTGCAATGCTTACCATTTGGGATGGGGGCTCAGGTTTGGTGATCTCTGAGAAGCTGGTTAAACCACCGTGCCAGGTTTGGGGAGGTCCTATTCTCGTGAGAAGGAAATAGGAGCTCCAGATCTTCGTTGGGCTGCGTATCTATTTTGTTGGTTCCCAGAATCCATGATCTGGAACATCCCGGTGATGGAGTTTTAATTGCCTTTCATGACGAAGACGACGAAGAGATGATGGAGGTAGGAGTAGACATTTAATGCTGACCACTGTCTACCATGATGCCATGTTCAGCAATTTAGTATTTTAGTGCCTTCTAGGACAGTACAACGTCCAAAACTAGGCTCCTTTTTTGTGTGTAGGGTGGAGGGGTGGGGGGCTCATGGTCAAAATGACAAAATTTCAAAGAGTGGAGGAGATGATTTACTCTTTTTCCTATAAATGTCTTCAAACTCCTAATTTCCATTTGTTTTTAGATACACCATGCCAGCTTTTTCAGTATGTGTAAGAAGCAAAGAGCTGTCTTGGAAGCTCTTCGCTTTTGCAGATTGATTGGCAACCCCAAAATAAGTACCTTCAATATGCTTTTGTCGGTGTGTGCTAGTTCACTAGATTTTGACGGTAACTGCTCTAACCTTGAAGTTTTAGCATTTCTTGTCAGATGTGCCAGAGTTGGCACGGAAGCATGGAACATGACCAAATATTTTTACCTTTATATAGGAGCGCTCCAAGTTATGGAGCTCCTAAAGGAAGCTGGGCTAAAACCTGATTGTAAACTTTACACAACGCTGATATCAACTTGCGCAAAGTGTGGAAAAGTTGATGCCATGTTTGAGGTAACTAAGCCACATAGTTAGATACAGGTGATTTCCTTTTAAAATTTAGTAATAGACACTCTATATTTATATTTCAGGTATTTCATGAGATGGTCAGTGCTGGTATAGAGCCAAATGTTAACACATACAGTGCATTAATTGATGGCTGTGCTAGAGCTGGGCAAGTGGCTAAAGCATTTGGTGCTTATGGGATTATGAGTTCAAAGGTGATACTGTTTTGTCTGATGGATTTGATGTTAGATGTGCTCGCACTTTGGCTATATAAATGTTACTGAAGCTATTGCAGTCTATAACCCTCTATAAGGGTTTCATACTTGTTAAACTTACTGAGTCGTACCTGCAGTAGAAGGTGAAGCCAGATCGAGTTGTCTTCAATGCTTTGATCAGTGCATGTGGTGAATCTGGAGCTGTGGCTCGGGCATTTGATGTTTTATCAGAAATGACAGCAAAATCCTCGGAATCTAAAGGATCCAAACCAATCATTCCTGATCATGTTACTGTTGGAGCGCTGATGAAGACATGTATTCAGGCGGGCCAGGTTCTTTACAGATTAAGCATTGTTTTGAAAATGCAAAATTGGAAAAGTAGTATATGTATCCAAAATCAAGTTGTGTTCATCTTGTTCCTATAGGCTGATAGAGCTCGTGAGGTGTACAAAATGCTTCAGGAGTATAATATAAAGGGTACCCCAGAAGTTTACACAATCGCATTAAGAAGCTGTAGCTTGACTGCTGATTTAGGGTTTGCACTGAAGATATATGAAGATATGAACAAGATTGGAGTAAAACCTGATGAGGTGCTATTTGTTGCTGACAACCTTAAAGTATGAAAAAACTAATGTGCTCCCTTTGTCTTATTTATTTGTTTTTTTTTTTTCGTTAACTACAGATGTTTTTGAGTGCTCTAGTTGATGTAGCTGGCCATGCTAGGAGGGCAGATGCTGCCTTTGAAATAATGAAAGATGCAAGAGCAAAAGGTTTACTCGTTGGAACAATTGCATACAGTTCGTTAATGGGGGCTTGCTGTAATGTAAGTTGTGTATACTGTTGCATGGAAAGCACATCTAGGATTTTAACTGTGACATGCATGTTGTTCAATAACTCTATATTTTTGTGAGTAATGTATAACTTGCATAGGTAACTCTGTCCCTTCCCCCCCCCCTTCCTAATTCACTGATATATTACCAATATTCCTTTTAGCACATCATGATTTGAGGACTGCTGTTTCAGGCGGAGGACTGGAAGAAGGCACTGCAGCTATACAAGGACATCAAGTCTATTAAATTGACCCCATCAGTTTCAATGATGAATGCTTTGATCACCTCTCTGTGTATGTCTAAATTTCTCCTATGTAAACAAATCACCAGGCACTGGTGTGTTGGTTGGGGTTAGCCTAGCCCCTAAGAAAAGGAGTGGGTCCTAAGTTGATTTGACCTCACATAGGCAGTAGCCTAGCTTCTCGCCACCACCTGTTTAGAAGGCCAGCTATACCAAATTTTAAGCATTTATACCTAATCTATCTTTCAGTTATCTAAAAAAGCTGATGTGACAAATTAGTAGATATGAAAGTGGCATCACAAACTTACACATTATCTAGTGAAAATTCTCTATACATAACTGCTATAGTCTGCGAGTTTTCCCTGACCTAAGTCTGGCTTCATTCAAGTTTAAGGATATACTGAGTTAGTTTTCAAGTTCAGTTGTCCGAGTCACAAATTAAGGAGAATCCATGGGATTTACATTGCATGAACATGCATAATGGCTAGTTGTCCTTTTCATTTGAATCTTGTCCTTTATGTGTGCAAATAATGATGTTTCCATGCTTTTTATTGACCATGAAATGAAACTACAGGTGATGGTGATCAGGTCTTAAAGGCTGTTGATATCCTTAATGAGATGAACAGATTAGGGGTCCATCCAAATGGGATAACATACTCAGTCTTATTTGTTGCTTGCGAAAGGTAATAATTCTGAGCATGAACTTCACCTTTCAATTTAATTTATTGTGTTCTTCAGATACTAACAGCTGACATGTAGAAATGGTGAAGCACAACTAGGTTTGGATTTGTTTGAACAATTAAAAATGGATGGCATTGGCATCAATCCCACCATTATTGGTTCTCTTACTGGTAAGGTTGTTTCCCCGCCTTTTGATGTTATATTATAGGAGAACTTGCATTTTTTTGTTTCTGCAACCTACTTATTTGCCATTTTTGTTGTGTCCGTCTACTGGGAGTCTTTTTATTTGTTGTGCTCAAGGATTTTATGGCGTAGCTTAGTCGTCACCTAGGCATCCAAGTGCTAATAAAACCTGGGCGTCCCCGTTGCCATGACCAAAAATCAGCAAAATGCGAGAGGAGGGAAGGCGGAAGAGATAGGGGATGAACGGGAGGAGGACTGAGAAGGCCAAGCACTCGTCTCTTCTCCCATCCCCATCGACTCCAGATGCTATGGCCATCGCAAACTTCTGCAACCTCGGACATCTGGGAGGGGCAGCAGCGAGCAGCAGTCAGAAACTCTTGATCTGTGATCTACAGATGATTGCAGGGGATCTGGAAGGGGGGCGGCACCAGGAGTGAGCAAAGGGAGGGGGAGAGCTGGAGAGGTAGGATTAGAAGGAATTGTTGTGTGCGGTGGCAGTGCATAAGAACTGGAGAAGGAGGGATGGAGGTACAGTCACGCAGAGAGGGGCAGTGGCTGTGGTGCTGGAATGCTTGTTGATGGTTTGGAGAGGGATACGGGTAACAGATAGGGCAGACAACATGCCAGGAAGGATATATGGGCTGGCTGGTGGACTGGGCCTTTCTTAGTGTCTTGTCCTTCTTTTCTTTTTTTTTTCTTTTCCTTTTTTCCTTTCTCCATGCTGCTGCTCTGAAGTTTCTTATAATCATATGGCGTTGCCTTGCCTCACTTTATGATTGATGCGTCACCTAGGTGATTGGAAATGGGTGGTTCTCCATGTCTCACCTTACCGCCTTAAGAACCTTGGTTCTGCTGCTATATTTGAAATTGAACTACTCTTGTCTTTTGGTCTTCCTACTGACATGACTTCTCTTCAGGTTTGTGTCTTCAAATGTTCGACAATGATTTCTCACTTGGAAATATTATTGTCAACTTCAGCTCAGGGAAACCACAGATTGACAACAAATGGTATGCTTCTCACGGTATCGTTAGACCGTCTTATAGTCTCTAATATGTATTCAGAACCTAATGCTTGGTTCAGTTGTTTAGTTTACCGCTTAGGCTAAATTGACATGGAACAACCATACATAGTTGACAGAGCCCTTACATAGTAGATGAAAACTTGTTTTACTTTCTCAAATATTTTTTTTTGCTGTAAAACAAGTTCTGGTTGGCCTTTGCAGCTAGTCTAGGATGAGGCCCATGATGTTGAGGAGTATATAGGCTATACTGGAGCAAACTAAAAAGGTTTCAGCAACCAGGAAGCCATGTTGATATGCGATCAAGTGTAGTTACCACTAGATGTGTAGTGCAATGTGATTTTCGAGTAGCCTAGTCCTTAAAAATGGGCCGCAGTCAATTGTCATCCCTCATGAATGTCATGCATCATCCTCAATCAGCATGGCAGCAGCAAAAACCACACCTTTATATTGTTGAGAGTATATGGGAAATCTCCATATGGTAGATTAAGATTCACTGTAATCAAGCAGTAGAATCATTCACTCATCTACATTAAACATTCTAGTCTTTCTACATACATGAATGTCATGAATCAATCATCCTTTTAAGGGTGTTATAGTCATTATTACTAGTCTAGGGTCTCCATTTGGGGCTGTTGAATACAACTGACTTTTCATCCATTCCCCCTCTTCTCGTATTCTATCATGGTATCAAGAGCTTTGGTTCTTCTCTAGGTCCAAGAAAATCTTCCGTTGTGCTGCCACTGGGGTGATCGAACTCCACTCCCAGGGACAGCAACAAACCCAGCCCAACCCAACCCCTTCCATTTCCGTTCCTGTTTGTGTAGCAGCAGCAAGAGATCCTCCCCGTGCTCAACGTTGTCCTCGGTTCGTCACCCCCAAGCTCAGGGTGAGCACTGTCAGGCATTGATCCATCATCCTTGGGAGCAGGTCTGTTGCTGTCGGGCATTAATCGAACTCCACATTCATTCACCCTTGTGCTCTACCTTGCCACTAGTGACGTTTGGACCAGAGAGGACCTTGGTCACGCCTAAGCTAGACAAATTCTTAATGGAGTGCTTAATTTCATTCTAAGTGCTAATAAAATACTAATATGGCCCGCTCTACTTCCATTTCATGAAGTATTGGCCCCCTCTCTTCTTCTGTCCAAGCTCCGATGCAGCACACTATTTTGGAGGAACAACTCGAAGGTGCTGATGTGTAGAATTAGCACAATATGTTGAAGGAACAGCTTCAACGTGCTAATAAACAAATCCCTAAGGGCAGTCCGAATCCACGGACAGCAAGAACTGAATCCAAAGCTCAAAGAAGAGATCTAGTCCAAGATTTACAATAGAAACAAGAAGTTCTATTTCATATGGTAAAGAGTACATAAGTCATGATTACAAAACTAGAGGTTATAGCCTCTATTTATAGACTCCAAACCTTACACAACTCATATACAACTAATATGACAACTAGACAACAACTCATATTAGACAACTAGGTAATAACTCATGTATATCTCATAGACAACTAAGATTCAAGATGTTTCTTGATCAAACTAGTAATATAGTAGTAAAAACCAATTTTGTCTCTATTGCTTCAAGTGGATTGAGATGAAGTGATATTTCCATAGTGCTAAAGTTCAAATTGACTTCTTGTTCTTAGAAGCAAAATAAGTTTTCTCTTCTAACTCTTGATGTCAAAATCTGGTTTGAGTCTTGGTACTTGAATGTTGATGAATCATCTAATTTATGTCCCTCATCACTCCGCCACTGTTGCCACCTTCACATCCCTTGTGGGCATCTGCTCTGACCAGTGCCAGATCTGCGCCTCCCTGAGCACGCACCCGCCCGTGGCCACCATGCTCACCCTCGTCCGTGGCACCTGCCATGCTGGTCTCACAAGCGCAGGGCCTTGCACCTCCACACACGGCCCATCTCCAGCATCAACCACCCCAGTGGCTATCCGGGTGAGCAGCCACGCCGGTCCTGCGTGCACCTGGCCTTGTGCTGTGCCTCTCTATGAGGGAGCCGCTGCCGTGGCTCACCACCCACTAACGCTGTTGTGGCTGGATGAAGGGTCGAGATGGCGGACTAGAGGGGGGGTGAATAGTCTTTTCTAAAATTAATCGCGTCTTCTAACCGATATAAATGCGGAATTAAAACAATCGGTCTAGCCAAGACTACACCCCTCTATATATGTTCACTAGCACCTTACAAAGATACTAATAAAGCAACTAAGGTGCCGGGCTAGCTAGAGCTCTCCTAAACAATTCTAGGAGCAAGGTCACACAAACCTATGCCACTAGTACTTTGAGTAACAAGGGAGCTCCTACACATGCTAGTAAGCAAAAGCACAAAGCTAACTAAGCTCACTAGCAATGCTCAATAACAAGGCAACCAACGCCTAATTAGAGAGCGCAAATACTTAGCTACACAAACTAAGCAATGTGACTAACAAGGTTACTAAAACCAAATTAGCCACGCAAGGGAGCTACTTCTATGCTATACAAGCAAGAAGGTAATTAGCTAGCTACACAAGCTATCTAATTACAAGAGCAACTACACAAGCTTAAGATATATATATAAGTAATTGCAAGCTTGTGTAATGGGGATGCAAACCAACGGGAAGAACAAGGTTGACACGATGATTTTTCTCCCGAGGTTCACGTGTTTGCCAACACGCTAGTCCCCGTTGTGTCGACCGCTCACTTGGTGGTTCGTGACTAATTAGCATCACCCGCTAAGCCCATGCGTCGGGCACCGCAAGAACCTACCCCTTGAGTGAGGGTAGCTCAATGACACGCTTTACTAAGGTTGCTCTTTTCGCGACTTCGCTGGGCGAGCACAATGCCCCTCACAAGCACTTCTCGGGAGCGCCGCACAAGCTTCTTGCGGCGCTTCGACGGAGACCACCACTAAGCCGTCTAGGAGGTGGCAACCTCCAAGAGTAACAAGCACCACCGGCTCGCAAGAACTCGATCACCTAGTGCCACTCGATGCAACCTCACGATGCAATCGCACTAGAATCGCTCACTCACACAATCGAATGATCACTATCAAGTATATGTGTGATGGAGGGCTCCCAAGCACTCACAAGCATGGACACTAAGTCCCTTGAGGTGCTCTACATCACCATAGCCGAGGGCCACTTCTATTTATAGCCCCAAGGGCTAAACTAGCCGTTACCCTTCATCGGGCAAGCGGTCGGGCCGACCGGACGCTCGGTCGTGTTGACCGGACGCTGGACCTCGGCTGGTCCGGTCGCCCGCAGACAGCCACGTGTCCTGATTCCAACGGTCACTTGACTTGACCGGACGCAGCGGTAAAACTGACCGGATGCTGAAGCCCCAGCGTCCGGTCGTTTCCAGGAAGCTCCCCGAGGCATATTTTTTCTCGGCCGGACGCGTCCGTCCACCTTGACCGGACGCAGACCGGCGTCCGGTGCAATACCCTCGACAGAAGCAGAGACCGTCGGTTTGACCGGACGCAGCCTTTTCAGTCGTCCGGTCGTCACAGATGACTCCAGCGTCCGGTCAGTGGACCGACGCCAGCATCTTCGCGATCAACTCGTTTTCACTTCTAACTTCTTCACCCTTGCCCTAATGTGCTAACCACAAGAACTTGCATCCGGCGCAATAGAAAATAGGCATTCTATTTTCCCGAAAGCGTTGAATCCCGCTCTCATAAAGTTTTCGGCGGGAGGAGAGAGGACCCAAACCCATCTCACCCTGCAAACACCACCTCCTTTGTAAATGTGCCAACACCACCAAGTGTACACCACCATGTGTATGTGTGTTAGCATTTTCACAATCATTTCCCAAAGGATGTTAGCCACTCAACTTGCCACGCCACTCGATCCTAGCGACAATGCAAAGTTAGATCACTCGAGTGGCACTAGATGACCGATATGCAAACAAGTTTGCCCCTCTTGATAGTACGGCCATCTATCCTAAACCCGGTCATAAACTTCTCTACACACCTATGACCGGTGAAATGAAATGCCCTAGGTTATACCTTTGCCTTGCGCATTCCATTCCATTTCCTTCAATGTCGATGCAACACATGCACCAACAAGATCAACAATGATATGATCCACTTCATATCATCACATGATCATATTGGTTCATCGATCTTGACTCTACTTGCTCATCACCGTTGCTATCGTCCATCGGCGCCAAGTCTTGCTCAAGCTTCACCGCCACGCGGTCCATCACTCCAAAGCCTTTGACTTGCCCTTCACGCTTGCAACCGGTCCATCAAGCCAAGTCTTGTCTTGATCTTCTCCACCTTGATCACATGACTCAATGTCATGTCTCATGTGCAATAAGCTCCTTCATCATCACACGTGTGAGCTTTGCAACATCTCTAAGCCATTTTCACCTTCATGGCATATGTTGCTCATACACATGTACCTGTGGACTAATCACCTGTGTATCTCACATAAACACAATTAGTCCACCTAGGTTGTCACTCAATTACCAAAACCAACAAGGACCTTTCACTGGAGCAGCAATCCCTCAGCTCCACGGTCTCCTGCCGCCGGTGCCACACTGCGGCCCTGCGTGCTGTGTCTCCTCTCAGCTCCAGTTTTGTGATCTCATCGAGTTCAACCTTCTGCTGCACTCCTGTAGTCGTCTTCCGTTGTTTCCACATCCTCTGCACGCAACGCCGCCACCACATTGTGTGAGCTGCGCCCCCATTTGTAAAGGTATGCCTGTGAGGCTGCAGCTTTCTTTTTGGGGCTGATGGGGTCTGCTCCGGGCCACATATGGGCCTGCACATATCCTTGGACTCATGTTCCTTACTGTCTTTGCTAGGGACTAGTGCTTATTCATTGCTGCAGTGACCAGTCCTTATTCATTGTGCAGTGCCGCTCTTCCATTTGGGTTAGTTAGGCCATGATTTGAATTCAGCCTGCCTTTTGGAACATGCGTACTGGCTGGTTGCTTGTTGCTCCAGAGTATCTGTTTCCCCGTTGCGTCCACCCAAGTCCGCTACTCTT